TCGGACACATCTGTTTGCACTTGCAAATGCAATGCAGGTGTGTCGTTGAATACGTCCACGCTCAGACACATCTGTTTGCACTTGCAAATGCAATGTAGGTGTGTCGTTTCAACCTGCGGCCAAGACCGCGCCCTTTCCGATTCAGACTTTTCCACTTTTCCACCCTGCCGCTGCTTTGCCACCGTTTCAACCAAAACCCAGCGTGCGGTCCCACAGGCAGCTACCAGTCCCGGATTTTTCAAAGAAAATGCCACTACCCCCCAAAGATCCACCCTGCCGCTGCTTTGCCACCGTTTCGACCAAAACCCAGCGAGCGGTCCCACGGGCAGCTACCGGTCCCACGTTTTCAAAGAAGCTGGCCCCCCCCCCACCCCAAGTGTTGTGTCTGCACCTGCCTGCATTTTTCGAACCTTCCAACGACCAAACGAGCCCGAATCAACGGCCCATATAAAGAAGGACGACGAAAATGTCTCGGGGGCGAAATGTCTCAGGGGGGGAAAACGCACCCCTGACGGGCTGCGGACTCACCAAATTCCGAGGAGAACTTCGTAGAGCGGCGCAGGACTGTTGAAAGCATCAGAGTAGCAGGCTGGGGATGAAACAACTTTGGACTTTGGAAAAAAGGTGCTGAGAAGGTTTCTCTGACGACCTGCAAATCGTTTTCCTGTCTCCATTTTTTTTTTTTTTTTTTTTTTTTTAAAGGTAAGCTATTTTCTTCTCTCATCTATCTCATTTTTCTTGATAGTATGCATCTATCTCATCCTCTCACTATTCTATATATAGTATGGGGGAACACCAACCAACCCGGATCCCTCCCCAGCCCACAGGGTAGGTTGGCACCACAGCTGTGGTGCGAGGGCAAGGCTGTACCAGTCCCTCATCACGGTGACGAGGGGTGGGCAGGCATTGCCGATGGGGGAAATCGGCGGTGCTAGCGCCGAGCAATGGCCAGTCACTGCACCTCCCCCTACCCCCCCCCAACCCCACATGGCGGTGTCTAATGGTCAATATTGTCGCTGCATAGCAGCCAACAACATCAGCCAAGGTCCTGCCAATGCTGGCTTGGGGGGCCGACGGGTTATCTCTAGCTGGTAGAACACCAAGCTGCCCAGGCACATCGTGAGGCCAATGGGAATTGAACCCACGACCTCCTGAATGCAACTTCTGTGCCTTACCAACTGAGCTAGGCCCGCCTGTCTCCAATTTTTACAGGCTGTGTGGCGAAGAAAAACTGTCCCCGTTTGGACAGTGGCGAGGCAAGCCCCATAGGCAGAAGTTCCGGGTCGAAGTCCCACAAGCAAAGAGGGTTGGAGTTAACGCCTGAATCTGGACGTGATTGCTGGGACATGCAGAGAAGCTCCATTGATCTGCTTTCCTGTCTGCATATTTGCTACGGTTGATGATCATACCTCAAATTTTTCAGATTTTGCTATTTTTGCATTTTGCATGGGAGGGGAAAAAAAGGACAACGGAGAAAGGGAAAAGAAAAACGAAACTGGATTGGCCCGACCGAACAACGTTTTGCTTCCCTGCCACGCGGGCCAGGTAAGCCAGCCACTCAGAGTGGGGGGAGGACGCACAGCAAGCAGGCTTTCTGGGAAAGAGCCCGCACACGTGGCTGTGAAAAAGATGACGTAGGCGACATGGGCGACATGAGAGACGCCCACCTCATCCGCTCGCTGGCCGAACACGTAAACAAGCACCTTGTACCTTTTTGTGTTTTTTTTTTTTTTGCCCCTTCAGCGCTGGATGTGCATGCAACGTCGCTGAAACATAAGGGCGAACTCAGACGTAGGATGACGTGGACGTATCCGACCGCGTCCGCAAGTAGGTTCAGTCAGAACAAAGGAACTAATCCTAGAGTGAAAACCGCATAGCGCCGACTGCTGGGAAGGTCAGTGTGCACTGCCAACATAAGAATTTCCCAAGGAAAACGAACCGAGAGCATTCTCACACTACCGGGGGCGTCGCTCCACTACTCACCACACGCAGAAAAGACAAAAGATATGGCGGTGTATATTTCCATGTTCTAGCGGAAGATCCATTCTCATTTACACATCTGGAGAGTAGTGGAACGAGGTCCTAGGACTACTCGATGATTGAGCTTTGGACGTAATTGCCGGGAGATACATCCTAGCGCCTGGAAGAGAATTAGCCCAACAAACACAGCTGCGTGTTCTGCTCAAATGGCCTACTACGCCTTTTCTTTACTGAAAAAAACAAAAACAAAAAGAAGAGTTATAGCAGTCGCGTCCATTACCAGAAATAACGTCGCATGCACTCGCCATAGAACTCCTTGGGGTACCTAAGCAACGACCAGCCCACCGAGCTGGGAGACAAAACATGAACGCAACGCAATAACAAAGAAAACAGCGAAGATCAAGTTCGACGAAGTTGAGCACCCAGCGAGAGAGAGAGAGAGAGAGAGAGAGAGAGAGAGAGAGAGAGAGAGAGAGAGAGAGAACCCAGCTCTTGTCCAAGGCTAAGGTGTTAGCAGCCAGTTGGCATTCGGTCGAGGGACACGGAGAGAGAGAGAGAGAGAGAGAGAGAGAGAGAGAGAGAGAGAGAGAGAGAGAACCCAGCTCTTGTCCGAGAGTAAGGTGTTAGCAACCAGTTGGCATTCGGTCGAGGGACACGTAGAGAGAGAGAGAGAGAGAGAGAGAGAGAGAGAGAGAGAGAGAGCAGCTGATGAACAACCGATGTCAGGAGAGTAATGGGAAATGAGCCATCGACGTGTGCGCGCGCGTGACGACTAATACAGCAACGCAATAGGTTTGGAAGGTGGGTGACCTGATCGGCTGAGCTGCTCGATGAGGGGTTCTCCTGCGCATGATGAATGGTCAGCCAGTGCATTAGAGGCGACGACGACGGAGCCATCGCCTTGACTGTGCTGAGTTTACCCGTGGCAAGTGACCGTGTGAGAGGGGAGGGGAGTTTTTCCTTACTGTCTCCCACTTCGAATTTGCCATAGTAGACTGCATCGCTCTCACCCCTAACCGTCGATAAAGGGGCTATCTAACGCTGTGGCGGATGCTGGACCAGCACAAGGGGGTCCGGACGGAGAGGGAGTGGGTGGTCAGAAGAGAGGAGTGCGGAAAACCGACCAAGTTTAGTAGATTGAGGCTTGCGTGCCACGTGTAAGCTTGTCGGGACTTTGGCTTGGCTTGCGTTCTTGTTTGTCACTCGATTTGGGATAAAGTTCGGATAAGGTTGGGATAAAGTTTGGATAAGGTTGGGATAAAGTTTGGGGGCCTGTATGATTACACAGCTGAGCGGCTGCTGCCACGTGGACCTGCCGTGGATTCACCTTGTTGGCATCAGTGCGTGGGAGGGGAGAGGGGATTTTACTGTAGCAAGGTTTGGGATAAAGTTTGGATAAGATTGCGTCTGGATCTGGAAAAAAAAAAAAAAAAAAAAAAAGATTGCATCTGGACCTGGGTAAAGATTTTGCACTGGAGGATTGAAATTAAGAATTAGAGATGAGGAGAGAGGCATAAGATTAAGATTGGAACTCTGAATTTGTCGTTGCGGGTTTTGCAATTAAGCTGGCTGCGCGAAGAGGAGGAAGGGGAGGGAGGGAGGGAGGGAGGACGAGTGGGGAGAGAAGAGGAACGAGTAATGGTATCTTCAGTCATGGGGGGAGAGTCGGTTTATGCGACACTTGGTAATCGTACACGTATGAGTGTAGTGACAGGTCAGCTTCGACCTGATTGGACAGCTGTGAGGGAGGATGGCTATGACGGCGAAGAGTGCAATGGCCCGGAAGGAAGAGCAGGTAAGCATGAAGAGAAGAGGGAGGAGGTAGAGGAGGAGGGAGAGCAGGTGGTGGGGACCACAGCAGGAGCGAGCTGTTTGTCGAGACAGCTCACAGCAGGTGCGATGGGACGCGAAGCTGTGCGGCCAACTCCCGGCGGGGGCGTCGGGACACTCCACGTCAGCGACAGCAGGACGGGAAAGAAGTACGAGATCCCGATCATTGATGGGGGGGCAATCAACGCCGGCGATCTGAAGAAGATTACAGCCGGAGGCGATGGCGTGGGACTGAAGTTATATGATCCTGGGTACTTCAACACCGCGCCCGTCCGATCATCGATCTCGTACATCGACGGCGACAAGGGCATTCTTCGCTACAGAGGCTATCCAATCGAGGAGCTAGCGGAGAAGAGTACGTATCTGGAAACAGCCTATCTATTGCTGTACGGGAAACTTCCGACGAAAGTTCAACTAAGTAAATGGGAAAGTTCAGTGATGCAACACACAGCTCTGCCAGAGCCAGTCTTAGCTGCGATCGCCGCGCTCCCGCACGATGCTCATCCCATGGGAGTGCTGATCACTGGCCTCGCAGCGTTATCCGCAATGCATCCGGACGCTAATCCGGCGTTCCAAGGGCAGGGAGTGTACAAGTCGAAGGCCGTGAGAGAGAAAAACATGGTACGGATCATTGCCAAGGCTCCCACTCTCGCTGCAGCCGCTTATCATCGATCGACGGGGAGATTACCTCCTCCTCCCTCCTCCTCCTCATCGTCCAATCTCTCTTATGCCGAGAATTTCCTCTACATGCTCGACTCTATGGGTGACAGGTCGTACCGACCCCACCCTCGATTGGCGCGCGCGCTAGACATCATGTTCATCCTCCATGCAGAGCACGAGATGAACTGCTCGACTGCCGCGTGTCGCCATCTAGCGTCGAGTGGGGTGGACGTGTACTCTGCTGTGACCGGAGCCACGGGAGCGCTCTACGGGCCCCTCCACGGCGGGGCTAACGAAGCTGTGCTCCGCATGCTCATGGAAATTGGAGGCGTCAACAAAATTCCCGAGTTCCTTGAGGGCGTGAAGACCAAGAAACGCAAGATGTCGGGATTCGGTCACAGGGTGTACAAGAACTACGATCCGCGAGCGAAAATCATCCGCCACCTAGCTGAGGAGGTGTTCTCCATCGTCGGCAAAGATCCTCTTATCGAGGTCGCGAGAGCGCTAGAGAAAGCCGCTCTCTCGGACAAGTACTTCGTCGAGCGCAAGCTTTACCCCAACGTTGACTTTTACTCTGGTCTGATTTACCGAGCAATGGGATTTCCCACGGCTTTTTTCACCGTGTTGTTTGCAATACCGAGGATGTCGGGATACCTCGCGCACTGGCAAGAATCGCTCCGGGATCCCGACACAAAGATCATACGGCCGCAGCAGTTGTACACCGGGGCGTGGCTTCGGAGCTACGCTACAATCAGCTCAAGACCAGAGTCCTCTTCTGAGGAGAGTGTGGGCGCCATTCCCCAGTCAAATGCGTCGAAGAGAAGACTGGCAGGGGTGTCGAAACTCTAATCAAGTAACCAATCAAATCCATTCGTCGATCAATCATTCAATCAATCAATCAATCATTTGATCAATCAATCAGAAGGCGCTGGAAGGGATGATAATCATGTTCTCGCTCTTTTGTATGCATCGTGATGGGGTTTCGGCTGATGGGGATTGAAAAGGAGGAAGGGGAGGGGAGAAGAATACAGGGGGGAGGGGATTTTACCTGTGCACAACCCCGTCGTCTTCAAGCGTTAAGGAAGGTGGTGATTGGCAAATGTGGAGGGGTTGGCTAATTAATCTCTGTATGGAATGGGGGCTGAAGATGGGTGCAATTTAGCTTATGACTTTTTCTTCCGTCTCGACGCGGGGATGCCCGGAAAAGGGGGGAATGAAGGGGGAAGGGGGAAGGGAGGGGAGAAGCAGGTGCGGGGGCGGGAAGAGGGGAAAGGAGGGGGGGGGGGGTATGTATCCAGTGCGCGTCCTTGATTTGATGCTCATGGTGTGTGTCCTTGATCAGATTGATGATACCGCTCATTGTGCGCGTCCTTGATTGATTAGATTGATGGCGCTCGTAGTGCGCGTCCTTGATTGATTAGATTGATGGGAACTCTAATTAGTAAGGCAATCAAATGTTCGCTGAATTGTGTAATTTGCTCGCTTTGCTCGATTTGATTGATTAGATTGATGGGAGGGGGGGTGGAGGGGAGGATCTGGCACTCGTTATTTCGAGCATGAGGGGGGTGGATGGGGTCTAGTGCCTCCTCGAGAAGGTGGACGTTGGTGTTGAGGTGCGTTCGGATCTCTAATTAGCTGGCCAATCAAGTGGCGTTGAGCTGAAGTATGTGATTACCTCTCTTTTCTCCTGTCGCGATGATTCGTTGGGTGGTGGGTGGGATGGAGGAGGAGGGGAAGGAGGGGAGAGGTTGCCTCCTCGACAAGCGCGACAGGCATTATTAGCAGAGGCGGATATGTGAGTGATCGGTCAATCAATCAATGAATTGCTGAGATGGCGCTGAAGGGGCTTTACTCTGCAATCAATTATTATATCAATCAATCAATCAATCAATTAACTGGCGCTGAAGGGTGCAGTTGCTCCCGGCAATTAATCAGATACCGCTGCGGGGTGTGATGATTCTCTGTTCCGCCACGATGGAGGAGACAACGAAGGGTAGGGGAGGAGGGGAGAATATAGTCTGGTGGGTCTCTTATCTAATACCTGCTAGAGATAGCTAGATGATGATTCGTTGCTACGGCCGCCGATTCAATGAGGCTGTTAGATGGATGGTGTTGAAGAAGGGTTGTAATTGCTCTCTTTCAGGATGGGAGGAGGTGTTTTTTTTTCTTTTTTCTTTTTTTCTTTTCTTTTCTTCTCTTTTTCTTTTTTAAGAGAAGAGGAAGGGAGAGTGGCGGGTCGTTTTGTTCCTGCAAACATCGTCTGACGAGACAAAGAGTTGGTGAGGTTGAAGTCCCGACCCCGGGGGGTGAAGTCTCGACCTTGATTCGTCAGCAATGTTGAGATAGTTTTGGTTATTTCTGGGCGCGTTTCTTTGTTAATTTTCCCGCTCGCTCGCTTTTCGACCCGGATGGAGTATGGTCTTGTTCGCTTTGCTGAAAAAGCGAGTATGCGCATTTTCGCTTTTGCAGAAAAACGTATGTAGACCTTCGGGACATCCGTTAAAATTGGAACGATACAGAGAAGATTGGCATGGCCCCTGCGCAAGGATGACACGCATAAATCGAGAAAAACGTATGTATGGTCTCGTTCGCTCTGTGTCTACCTTTGCGCTGGTCGGTCTTTTTCTTCTTCCACCCTCTCTCGTTTCTCTCTATTTTTGCTCTCTCTCTCTACCTTAGTGGCTTTGAACTCCTCATCTTTACCTCTGCTGCGCATCTGCGGCTGTTGGCAGTTGGCCAGAGTTGTCATTTTCCCTTCTCTCCCCCTCTTGTTCGCAACCTCTCCCCCGCCCCCCCCCCGTCCCCCTGCCCCCGCGCCACATCCCTTATCTGCAGTACGGAGATAACTAAGTGCGCAGAATCGATATGACAAGTACGTACATTCTACGGCTTTGATTGGATTCGATATGTCGATCACGTACGCGCTGCGGACTGGCTGCCGTGGCAATCAGAGTTCGCCATCCGGCGCCCACTGGAGTTGTATCCTATTGGGTGATTTTCTGTCTGTGTCGGTATGCCTGTGTGTGTGCACGCGCAGGGAGGGTAATTCTCTGTCTGTGTCGGTGTGCCTGTGTGTGTGCACTCGCAGAGAGAGAGAGAGAGAGAGAGAGAGAGAGAGAGAGGTGCGGGTGTCGGCCCGCACGTCACAGGGAGAAAGACAGAGAGGGCGGCCTAATTCTCTCTATCCGCGTCTGTTTGTCCGCGCGGGGAGAAAGACAGAGAGGGTGGCCTAATTCTCTCTATCCGCGTCTGTTTGTCCACACCCCGCGCGTGCGCGCGCGCGCGCGCGCGCGAGAGAGAGAGAGAGAGAGAGAGAGAGAG